ACAGCGTGCACTGGTTTACTTCTTGGCTCTCTATTCTGGTCTATTGGTCTATGTGTCTATTTTATAGCATTTTGATTGCTATGGCTTATGATATAACTGAAACCAGGAAGTGTGACACCCTCCAATTTTTTCTCTCTCAAGATTTCACTGGCTACTCAGTCTTTTGTGGTATCATATAAATTATAGGATGCCTTTTCTATTTCTGTGAAGAATGGCATTAGAATTTTGAGAGGGATTACACTGAACTTGCATATTGCTTGAGGTAGTATAAATTATTTTACATTTATATATATTCTGATAACATTATATATAGCATATGTTATTCATCATACATTGTAGTTGGGTTCATTTTGACAAAATCATACATGTGAGGAGTTTGATTTCTATCCCCAATTCCCCTTCTTCCTATCCCTTAGTATGAACATTTTAACATAGTATGGGAAGTAATAGCAAAAGCAATCAGGTAAGAAAAAGAAATGACATCCCTACTACCTCCAGTACTATGCTGAACAGAAGCAACAGGGCAAACTTGCCATGTACCAGATCTTAAAGAAAAAACTTTGTTTTCCTCCACTGATTATGATGTTAGCTATGGACTTTAAAAAATGGCCTTCATTGAAGAAATTGTCTTCTACACCTAAATTGTTGAACATCTTATCAAGAAAAGATATTGAGGGCTGGGGATATAGCTCAGTTGGTAGAGTGCTTGCCTCACATGTACAAGGCTCTGGGTTCAGTCTCCAGTACCGCAAAAATAAAAAAGAAAAGATGTCAAACTTTGTCAATAACTTTTCCAGCATCTATCAAGGTGGTCGGTAGTTTTTACCTTTCCTTCTGTTACCCAGTATATCATGCTGACCAATGTGCATCTGTTAAACCAACCCTGCATCCCAGGAATAAATCCCACTCGGTCATGACACACAATCTTTGATACATGTTTGGATCCTGTTTGCTAGAATTTTATTGAGGATTTCTGCAGGTGTGCTCATCATCAGAGCCGCTGGCCAACAGCGTTCTTGTGTCTGGTTTTGGTATTAGGGTAACACTGGCCTCATAACATGAGTTTGGAAAAAATCCCTCTAGTTCCTCCTCCCACATGATCTTTTTGGGGGAATATTAAGAAATCTGGTATTGATTCTGTCAATACTTTGTAGAATTCAGCTATGAAGCCATCTGGTCCTGGGTTTTTCTTTTGGAGGAGGCATTTAATTACTGCTGTAGTCTATTTGTTATTGGTCTGTTATGGTCTTCTATTTCTTCCTGATTCAACGTTGGTATGTTTCTAGGAACTTATCCATTTCCTCTAAGCTATCTAATCTGTGAGCATACTTGTTYATAATAGTCCCTTGTGATTCCTTTTATTTCTGAGGTATCCATTATAATGTCTCCACTTTTATTTCAGATTTTATATGAGTTCCCTCTGCTTAATCTAGCTAAGTCTCTATCAATTTTATTTTAAAAAACTTATCAGTTTGTCAATTTATTCTATAGCTCTTCAATTGCCTATTTTATTCATTTCTGCTCTCACCTTTATTATTTTCTTGGGTTTAGCTGTTATTTTCTAGTTTTTTGATGTGTAATATAAACTTTCCTCTTAGAATTCCTTTTGCTGCATTTCACAGGTTTTGGTACATTGCATTTCCATTTTCATTTGTCTCAAGGTCTTTTTAAATTTCCCTTTTGATTTATTCTTTGACCCACTGGTTATTTAACTTACACACATTTATGAAGTTTCCAATTTTCCTCCTGTTGTTGATTTCTCATTTCATGCCATTAAGTCACTTGATGTAATTTGTCTTCCTAAATTTGTTTTGTTTTGTGACCTAATATATTATCTATCCTAGAGAACATTCCATATACACTTAAGAATGTGTGTCATGGGCTGGGATTGTGGCTCAGTGGTAGAGTGCTCACCTAGCATGCCCGGGACCCAGGTATGATTCTCAGCACCACATAAAAAAAAAAAAAAATAAAGGCATTGTGTTGTGTCCATCTACAAAGAAGATTCCCCCCCACTCTCTTTTTTAAAAAAAGAATGTGTATCATGCTACTTTTGAATAGAACATTTTGTACATGTCTGTTAGATGCCACTGAACTAAACTGTAGTCCAAATTCAACGTTCCCCTGTTAATGTTTTGTATGCATGATCTACCCATTGTTGAAAGTGGGATATTAAAGTCCTCTATGATTATTGTATGGCTATCTACTTCTCCCTTCAGACCTACTAATAATTGCTTTGTGTTTTAGGTGCTCCAATATTAGATGCATATAAATTCAAAATTATTCTTGGTAAATTGACCCCATGACACTTTTCTTAATGTCCCATTCTGTATTATATACAGCTTCTAAAACCAAAGCCTGTAGCTAAAAAGAAATCTTCTTTTTATCTCTTAAATCTTGTGTTTTCTTTATGGATCATGAATTAAAACTGTTCCTAAGAGCTAGACTTTTCAGCAAGATAAACAGGATCTTAGAATTTAAACACGTCTCTTCCTAAACTTTGTATTCAGAATAAAAAACAAAAAACAAAACAGGACCTCCAACTGCTGATCTTATGAGGCCCCCTAGTGCTCACAATGTAGATGGAATCAATAATAGTTCAGGAACACCTTTAACCATTAAATTAACTACAGAATCAATCTGAAGCCCATTTTTTAAAAATCTCTTTGGGGGAAATCAATAATGCAGATGAATGTATAAGACCTAATTCAACTTGAATTATTTTGAGTCAACTGTCAGAAGAAAAGGCCTAGAAAATCCTAAGCAATAGTTAATAAGACTATTTTTCAAAACTAYGGTAACATTCCATTTTACTTTTTTATTCCTTGATCCAGTTAAAACTATTAATGCAACACTGTATAACACCCAAAATAGCAAAAGCTTTAGATAATAATACATTAAACTTAAGCCTTCTGTAAGGAGTTTATCACTTGGATACCTTTTAAAAATAAAAATTAAGCCAGGTGAGGTGGCACATGCCTATAATCCCAGCAGTTTGGGAGGCTGAGGCAGGAGGATTGAGAGTTCAAAGCCAGCCTCAGCAAAAGTGAGGCACTAAGCAACTCAGTGACATCTTGTATCTAAATAAAATACAAACTAGGGCTGGGGATGTGGCTCAGTGGTCAAGTGCCCCCAAGTTCAATGCCCAGTACCCAAMAATAAAAAATTAAAAATTAAGAAGTCAATGCATGTTATTTTGCTCGGCAGCTGGTCTATCTTCTGGAACCTCACAGCACCTCCTCTGTGTCGCCATGTTTCCTGTATCAACATTCGTCAATGGCACTCTCCTTTTCACCTTCTCATCATTGCGCCTTCTACTGATGAGAAACCCTGGTGTTTAGCCAGCAGCTGGGAAATGTGTCCCAGTGACACCTCCAAGCCTGCAGCAGTGCACCTTCCTTCCTGGGAACCACTAAGACCCAGAACTTCCACCCTCGACGCTGGGAAGACACGCTCTGCACCTCTCTACTGCTCTTCCTCTCATCGTCCCCACCTCAGAGGGACAGACAGGCAAGGGGYACCAGGGGCGTCACTCATGTGTAGCTGTCCTCCTGGGAGTGGCCGCAGGCTTTCCGGAGAACACGCTCTCCAGCCAGGAGCTGACGCCTCAAGCCCGACCCAGTGTCTATTTCTAAACTGTACAATCATCTAGAGGAGGAGAGAGGCATGAGTAGTCAACCACCAACAATATAAACTTCAAAAGATGATCTCTTTGATAACATAACTCTCACTTTCTGCTTCTGAGTGGAAGAAAAGGGAACTGAGCCTCACCCAGAATACACTTGCACATATATCGTCCCCTGTTTGCTCTACGACAATAAAAAGCCAGACTAGCCCCACAAGATCCCACGTTTAGGTCACTCGTCATTTATGTCTTAAACTTTACCTCAAGTGGATAAATCTTTATCTTCTAAATTATAAAAAATGTCCCTGAACGTATAAATCAAGTCCTAAYGAATATTGTTTTAATGCCACTTATTAAATAACTTAAGGCAATTTTATACACTCAGGAAAGCTTCACTGAGTGTATAAAATTGCCTTAAGTTATTTAAGTTATTTAGTATCTTTGATAACATAACTTGTAGAAAATTATTGCATTTGGTAGGGCAAAGCCCTTTTTTAAATTCAAGAACATATATCGAAGACTTTTCTTAAAACTAAGTATACTTTAGATTTATTTTAAAGCACATCATAAATCCATATAGGACCATGTAAATATGTGAGAGTGTATTTGCTTTTTGTTTGACTAGTAAACTATTTTTTTCTTGTATTACTGTGGGTTTTTGTTCTCTTTTTCTGTTTTTAATTTGGCATTTAAAAAATGAAAGCATGATTAATATTTAGTATCTAAYCAGTGCTCACAAATCATATCCAATACCATTGACAACAGTCTCAGAATACAAATCTGCATTAAAATAATTCCCTAGACTAAATTCTCCATCACTATTCAACAGGAACTACACATACAGGAGGACTCCAGCTTCATGCAGCATTTGGGCTAATTTTCATGTTTGTTTTTTTTTCCTTTGAGTTAACCACTGTGAGTCTTTAACTTAAGGTGTGAGTTTCTGATGGGAAAAAAACATCCTGTTGGTAAATTCTGAGTCCTACCATGACCTTATATTCTTTGATRGTAGCTCGGTACACAGAACTCTGAAGGTTGACTCCTAGCTGGTTACGCATTTAGAGGAAAGGGCAGAAACCATGGACTAGGACAGACCTGCATTCAGCCTTTCTCCCTGGAGTTGTGAAAACATGGGTAGCATATATAACTTCTATGACCCTCAATTTTCTCATTAAATTTAGAGAAAACCCTTATCTTTCTTATCTATAAGAAAAGAAAAAAATGTGAGAGCACATAGTAGGTGTACAAGAAATTACAACTGTTATTCTGATTACTTCTAAATACAGATGAAGGTCACCATGGAGTCACAATATTGCTACAACAATATTTATTTTAAAAGACTCTCAATAACATATTTAGTGTCAAATCAACTTACCAAGGCAGGAGTACAAACCCTGGCTTATCCAAGCTAATATGGCCAGAGTTATAAGGTCCCCAAAACTGGCAGCAATGGGTGTAGCGACATTATCAGGATTTATACCAGTCTTCTTTGAACCAACGATAACTCCAACCATTATTATTCCTAGAGGAAAGAATGTTCATCACTTTCAATGTTATGATTTAAAGAAAATAGATCCCTCAAATACTGAAACATACAGGACAGACAACCAATATCTCAGTTCCAGAGAGACTGCTTGGATAAGCTGATTAAGCAATTAAAACATTTTATCCCAATGTCATGGCAAAATGCCTTTTAACAAAATCCAAGTGGAGCTCACAGATCTGAGAAGTTCAATGTTGTACATAAAAGACCCAAAAGTGACCATAAAATTATGTTAAAGCTAAAATTTTGAATTTAGTAATATGTGTGTCTTAGGATTTGATACACACAAATAGACCTAAGATTTTTAAATTTAACCCTCAAATAATGTATGAAAATGCCAGAGAAAGGTGAGTCATACGCAAGGCAACTGGGAAGAAGACCAACAGATTTGTTCACATATGGTAGCTAGAAATGCTTGCTTCGTTATGTTCTTTAGTGTTGAAGTATTAAGAAGCAGGAAGTAATTAAACTTGAACACCAGAGTCCAGAACACAAGAAAGTCTTTGGAAAAGATATTCTTTAAACCCAAAGTTTGTTTATAATTCTCCAACAGGATAACAGAGGATGAAAATGTGACTGTGCACTTGCACTTTTGAATTCTTATTTTCTTGAATCAGATACATAAGAGTAAAATGATAACATTTATGTCTATACCCAGTTGTACAGATTTTCTCATAGCAACACATTCGTTAAGAGGATGAAGTACAAAGAAAATTTTAAATGTCTATGTGCTAACCACAGCACATAGATTTTCAACTCGAAATCTAAATATGGCTTTGGGGAGAAAAGAAACAGAAGCTGGGTGTAGAGTCACASACCCATAATCCCATAGACTGGGAGGCTAAGGCAAGAGGATCACAAGTTCAAGGCCAGCCTTGGCAATTTAGTGAGGCCCTGTCTCAAAATAATAAAAAGGGCCAGGCTGTTGCTTAATGATAAGGATTGAACTCAGGGGTGCACAAACACCAAAAATAAATAAAAAATAAATAAACAATTTCACTGCACTTTTAGAATAAAAAGACTGCAAATATTTTTATTCCAGAATACTCATTATAGATAAAACTGAGGTCCCCAAGAACAGGTTTAAATACGTGCCTGAAGTCACATAGCTTATGATTCTAGGCCAGTGGTTTTTAGTGTACCATATATAAAGTTAGTACTCTAAAGAGCAGAATTTTTGTCTTAAATCAAACAATGCATTGTAAATTATATTCTGGAAACTTTTTCAATCACTGGACCTTACCCTTTTTACAATATCACTATAAAGGGGGAAGAAAGCAATATCAGAAGTGCTTTTAGAATATGTTATATGATAATCCTACAAAATATAATGAGGTGTGGTGACACAGACCTGTAACCTCAACTACTCAGGTGGCTGAGGCAGGAGGATTGGCAAGTTTGAGGCCAGCCTGGGCAGCTTAGCTGGACCTTGTTTCAAAATAAACATTTTTTAAAAGGGTTGGGGATGTAGCTCAGCCAGAGAGCACTTGYCTAGCATGTGTGAGGCCCTGGGTTCAATCCCCAGTGCTACAAAAAAATAATAATCCAACAAGATATGATTACATAGAAATCTTTTTTCCACAATCAGCACAAGGGAAGCTCTCCTATGACAGTGCTACTTTTATCTTTTCAGCTGAAAGTAAGCATTTTTTGTGCATCATGGCTCAGTGTAAAGAGCTAAAAACCAGGAAAGTTGGGTTTTAATTCTGATTCTGCCACTAACAAGTGGATATAATTGGACAAGTTGCCTCACCTGCCTGAGTCAATTTTCTCACGCACAAAATGTGGTTAATGGTATCTGCATATATTAAGATGGTCAAAAAGGTCAAGTAAAACTAGAAGATACAGTGTTCAAGGTAAGARGCTTTAACCAAATGTACAGTTGTTTTAAAATTTGAATTTTTGATGGTTTTGAAAATCCTAGGCATTTCAAACACTTGCTGGACTGAAAAATTTCAAACCTCTCTAAATGACACAAAATCAGAAAGAAAACAAAAGTTAAGGAGCCTAAAGAGAGTGCTAACACCGCAACCTTTTTTTTTTTTTGCCAGAAATTTAATTTCCCAATAGCTTCATCTCAATCGATTCTAGTAATTCCATATAGAAATAAGAAAATTATATCCCTGATTACTATTCCATAAGAAGCTAGTTACCAAGTGGAAAGTTCACATTAATAAAAAAATCCAACTGAGAAGTTCTAATGCAGTTAGTTTTTTTAAACTAGTTCTTTAACCATCTATAGCCAATAATATGCTGTCTTCAGAATAAGGTTATTTTTGTACTACCACAGACAGGAATTTTTTTTTCTTAATATGAAACTTAAATTTTTTTTTTTTTAACAGAGGGACTGCTTTTGAAACTCAGAATTCCTGGAACACTTGTTACTCAAGAGACTAGCCAGTAAATCCCCTGCATGACTTCCAAGAAGTTTCTCAACTTCATTTACAAAACAAATGAATGCTAAGGCTATTTTCCTGATATTATTTGGGAATTATACCAGGGCATCAAAGGCCAGGACACAGCCTCAAACAGCCTGCTCTGCAGTAAGGTTCATAAATAATGAAATGGAAATATAGCTGAAATAAGATATGATTGAGGCTTGTGATAACTTTTTTCTGTTGTTTTCATCATWAATATCATTTGAAGAGAGAGAGTCATCATCTTGAGAAATAAATCATTTAAGAGCAAAAGATTATAGACATTTGCAAATCCGCTCACCCTGCAGAAGAGACGCGATGAAGGCGGTGGCCACGCTGCTGGAGCACAGGAGGATGGAATGATCCAGGTAATACTTTCCCTCTGGAATCCAGCCCAAGATGATCGCCGCCACCGCTGCTAAAAAACCCACAACTGTTGCCTGAACCTAAAAAATTTGTTACAAAATCCAATGAATTAGTAATTTAAAAAATACTCAGAATCTTTCCTATGTAAACATTACAGACAAGAAGCCTGAAGACATACTGCCCCTGGTAACTGAGTCATACTGCCTTTTAAAGAAGCTACTATATATGAGTTTTATATTCCCAGAGAGCGGGCTCTCAAACTGCCCTGATCTGGTGGCAGCAGAAATGGAATGGGGTGCAGGAATCTGTTTTTAATAGTACCCCAAAGGATTGATCCACAGATCATCTAAGAAAATTCTAGTTTTAGGCTAAAGAGGGCCCCACCCAAGGTGGAAAGCAGGCTCACCAGGCAGCGCTGGGGAGATTAAAATCAAATGATAGGAGCCTGAATCCTTCTCTACCACTTAACCTCAGGGCAAGTTATCTAAGTCCATTAACTCAACTGGTATTTATTCAGATTCTACCAAGCACAATGCACTGTGCTTGATACTGAGATAGGACCATGGTCAAAATGGACTCCCTGTCTCAGTGAGAAACAGATGTTAAAAAATACCCTCACAAATAATCACACTTATGATTAGTACCATAAAAGCTTGAGTTCCAGCTGCACATGATGGTGCATGCCTGTAATCTCAGCTGCTCAGGAGCCTGAAGGAGGATTGCAGGTTCAAAGCCAGCCTCAGTAACTTAGGGAGGCCCTAAGCAACTTAGTGAGGCCCAGTCTTCAAAATTAAATTTAAAAAAAAAAAAAAAACGGGCTGAGGATGTGGCTCGGTGGTTAAGCACCCCTGGGCTCAATCCCTGATCCCCACCCCCAAAAAAGTTTGAGTTCCCTACTCTATAAATGACAATGATAATATCAAACTTTGAGATTCAAGTTACATAAATAAATAGTTTCCTGTAGTGCAGACACAAAGCAACACTCAAAATAACTTCCACTAAGAAAAGGCATGCAGACAGCTGACTCASGCTACCAGGATGACAAAGCTATAGCAAAGCCCACGGGAATCACTTTTCCCAGTGGTTCTTAACTGTGTGTGTGTCGTGGCCCCTCTGACAATCTGGTAAAATTTCTGTAGAACAGAGACCTTTCCCCTAAGAACACTCAACATCTGGAGTGGAATTTCTGGGTGTTCTCTAAAGCCAATCCATGAAATGGGGTCAAGGGCTCCAAGTGATCGATCCCTGCTGCAGGATGATGCCATTGTACAGAAAATCAACAGAAAGGCCAGGACTAAAGAGCCTAGATATCCTGCCGTCCAGCCCCACAAGCTTTGATTACGGTTTCTGTTGACATCACCCACACCTCAGAGCTGACCTCCAGGTATGAGAGCCACTGTGGCTGCACAGTCGTTAGACATGTCAGCATGTTCATGCTGGTTAGTAAATAACACACACACTTCGCGCAGTAGAACTAAGTACTAATGTAAATTCCAGCACTGTGATTCCAAGTCCTTCCTGGCATGACCTGGTATGCATGGCAAGGGAGCCTGGTGCAGACATCATGGTATGTGAGTCTAGGCACATACATGCATCCGTAGATCTATTTCTGAGGAACTGGAGGCACATAGCTGAGCTGAGAAGTCCTATTCTGTGCATCTGCAAAACAACGACTAATTGGAAAATGATTGATGTGCCCAAGAAAAAGCAAAGCCTGGGTTCAAGTGGTAGCTGGGTTTAGAAGGATCTCGGGGCATGGAGGCTAAACAGGGGCCACAGGCCTGAATAGACCTTGGTGCAGGCTACATCCCTCCTAGCGAGGTGGTGGTTCCTCAGATGGCACCGGGGGCCCTGTAACTTATGCACAGTCCACGCAGCTGTTCTGTACAGTGGTGAAGAAACCTGTAGCAGGTAATCTGCTGGGACCCAATTTAATAGCAGAGAAGCACACTCCCTCCTAAGTGCGCCTGGGCCTCCTGTCTCTACTCTTCCCCCCTTTGCCCTCCACAGCCCACCTCCAGGAAGGGGAGCACAGGCCAGCCACCCTGCACCCCTCTCCTCGCTCAGCTTCTCCTTCACAGGCTTTTGCAGGTGAAGCCTTTTCCCCAAGCCCACCCACACGTCTTTTTGGTGGGAGGTATTAGGGAGTTGAACCCAAGGATGCTTTACCACCTTAACCACATTCTCAGTCCTTTTTTTTTTTTTTGAGATAGAGTCTTGCTAAGTTGCTGAGTGAGGCTAGCCTTGAACTTGGGATCCTCCTGGCTCAGCCTCCAGCGTTGCTGTAACTACAGGTGTATGCCACCACACTCAGAAGCCTGTTGTCTTGGCCTTTGTCCACTGGAACTGAGTCCCAAGCAACTGGTGCCTCCTCAGCTGGCCCCGATGCTGTCCTGGTGGGCATGCTCGGGGTTCCCTGTTCATACATGGATGATGGAGTGAAGCAGACACGGGCTTTGGGTTCTGGCAACTAGGATCAGCAAATCCCCAGCCATTGCCAGCACCCATCCTGACCAGAGGTTGCAGGGAGTAAGGATGACAAGGGAAAGGTGCGCATTACGAACAGAATGAAAATTAAAGCTGAGATGGCACCTGCTGCCATGGGCAGCTCTGCAGCCCCCGCAGGATCACTATGAGACCACTTTGGGAAATTTAATAAAATCTTGTCTCAAAATGGAAAAACGGCTGGGGATTTAGCTAAGTAATAGGGCACTTGCCTATCGTGTTCGAGGCCCTGGATTTCATCCCCAGTACTGAAATAAATAAAACAAATAAATAATGCTGAAATGGCCATTATACTAAAATGATTTGATATATAATTCATACTACAACTCATTATTTCATATGAGTTTAGGGTATTTAAAGAAGAAAATCAAATATATTTTCAAATACATTAATATTTTGAATATTTGAATATGGTATTAAATATTTTTATTATCACCCCTGCACAGATAACAAGTTCAAGTTGAAAAGGATTTTAGCCTTCTCTAATATAATATTGTGATTTGAAAGACAAAAGGGAAGCCCAGAAGGGCTAAGTTACAAAGGTTATACAGCTGGTTAATGTTAGAGCTGAGGTTAAGATCCCAGATTTTATCTCCAACCCTGCAATTACACAGGTATTTTTWAAAAATAACCACAATCCAAAAACTCCTTTGTCTTTAAAATACACTACATAAAACCATATTCCTGTAACCAAATTCTCCACCACCTCATTAAAGTTCCTGTGCATCCCCTCAGCTAACCCTAGCTAGAGAATTACCACAAGTAGTTGCAGTCTTCTGCCTCAGAGATGGGAGGGGTGGGGGAGAGGCAGTAGAGGTACTCACCTGAGATCTGAAAGCCATAGATTTTATAGAATCCAGTTTAGTGTTTATATCATTGGCAATTGAACTCATTCATTTATATCAACACTGGTAACATCAAATTGAGGAAAAGTCAAGACAAATGGCTGATCATAATATACAGAACTCAGTTTCATTAAACCAATACTTTGAAAAATTAAAGTAGGCTGAGCATGGTGGTGCATGCCAGTAGTCCTGCCTACTGGAGAGGCTGATACAGGAAGATCACTTGAGCCTAGGAGTTTGATACCAGCCTGAGAAACACAGTGAGTCTGTCTCAGGAGTAAAAACAATTAAAGTAGAAAAATAGCACCTAAAAAATGAAATGTTCAATATTTATTTGTAAGATATCAACACAAATTCTGGCTTTATCACATAGTTATGAAAGAAAATATTTATATATCTATCTTTTATATTTGTAAGCATCTGATTAGTTTCTAGAGAAAAAATGACTCCTGGAGGTCAGAGGTATCCACTAATTCCATTATTTTTTCAAGGTACTAAGTGATTTAGTACCTTGAAAAAAGTAAAAAATGATAGACTTCCCAGCACTACAGTTGACTCCATTCCAGAGGCGACCCCAAGACCAGTAAACACAAGATCTGTAAACAACTGTGTGCCACTTACCTGCTTTAAAGCCAAGTTGCCAATTATTAGGTTCCACTTTTCAATGGGTGAGTCCATCTTCCCAATATTTACCTGTTAAGGTGGATATTTTCATGGATCACTGAAAAATCTATGTTGTTTACTTTGCTTAAATAGCATATAAAGTCTTAAAAGTACAAAATAATTCTGTAATAAGTCTGGTAAGGGCACCTGTACTTGAATATAATTCTGAATTCACTCCATCTACCATTCAGATTGGCTGAGATGCTCAGGGGGACTTCTTTCTTTAACCATCTTATAAGAACTAGTGGCCCAGTTAGTATTACATATATATATAAAACATTACCATGTATCACCCTAAAATGCTGAATTCTGTGTACTGAGGGTCAATGAATAATTACATAATTTTGAGCTGCTAGCATTTAATTTCATACCATAAAACTAATATAATCTGAAGAATTGTTAATCAAAAAACAAGATTTAAACAAATCGTTCATATGTATATAATCTACATTTGATTCATGACAAAAATTGTTAGCAATAAAAATTCATTTGGTTCACAAATTTTGATCATSCACCTCACTAATTAAAAAGTATACATCTTTCTTCTAAATCGAATACTTTCCAAAATAATATTATTCACATATTCAGTGTCTCTGTGAGCTAGGTCATATTTCTCAACTACTTAATATTCAAAAAATGTAAAACTAAGACTGCCAAGTTTTCCAGTCATTTGGAAAGCAATGAGCAATCATTAGTAAAAATCCTATATTAAGCTGGATTTTCAGTTATTCATCACCTGGTCATAGAAGGTTTTCAAATGTTAAAAAAAGGTTTCTGGGCGAATGGGTATAAAGGGAGGTACACAGGGTTATTATTTATGGATCGTTTCAAACAAGTACAAACTAGAGCTTAGCTCATGGCTTCAGACCAGCGGGTTCAGGGCCACATCAACATTCCTCTACCAATTTGGAAAACAGACTCTATTCTGTAATTTCACTCCAGATTTTAGTTTCAAAGTCTCCAGCAAATCAAACATTGAGATTTCTCAGTGTTTCAGGATAATTACTCCTGCAAGTCTTTACTGATATATTTCTTGACTAAAGCTGGGAATCTAAAGTATTGATAAAATTCATGTTTGCAGTTCTAACAAGCTGGGGCTCTGCTCAAGTGAGTAACAGAGACATGGGCAGCCCTGGTAGGCACCCGGGCCTTTGCCATAAGACACGCTCGGCTTGTTTCCCCTGCACCAGTGATAGAGTGCCTTGGATTCAATCAGGCCATTCCTCTGATTTTCCCTCCACACATCTTCACTTCCCCAACTTCCCCACATTTGTGTAGGCCCTATTATAACTAGAGCACACATCTACCATGGCTGCTTTCTGGACCAAACCCAGGCTGATAGTTTATTAATTTAAATAGTGTACGGTTGTACTCTATATACAAATGATGAGGGTCACACTTCTAGATCTAGATGTCTCTGGATCTGCAATCTTTTTACTCTAACATAAAATAATCAGTAACAATTAAAATGATATCAAATTAAAAGAAGAATATATTCACAAATAAAAACATTTTTATAAATCAATATCTTAGAGAAAACTAAAAAGAAATGTCAGCCCAAATTCACTTTTTGGGGAAGACAGTATGCTACAGGCATGCATTAGGAGTGGTAGGGGAATGGCCAGACACAGGAAGATGACCTGTTGCCTCCATCTTGGAAAAACTACACCAAGAACAGGGATGACCCACCCTCCTGTCCAGTAGTCAGGGATAATATAACCACCCAAGCTTCTTCAGAAGTGGAGGGAGAAGTAGGGGTATGCTGTCTAAAGGCCTCTGGCCAACCTACTTTTGTTAGATTAGTTGACTTGCTGGTGCTCTCAGCAAGAGAAACCAAGAACTGGGAAAGTGATAAAGTGTAGGCGGGCGTGATTTGGTAAAGATTTCTGACTAATCCATATTTATTCAAATTACATATATCTTGAAGCATTAGAAAAATAGGCCAATATGTTTGCAGAGACACCAACTCATTCACTCATTAAAATGCATCTGTTTTGGGCTGGAGCTCATTGGTAGAACGCTTGCCACATGTGTAAGGCCCTAGGTTCGACTTCAGCGCTGCATATAAATAAATAAATAATATAAAAGATCCACTGACAACTAAAAAAATATTTTTAAAAAAAAGATGCATAATTTTGCTGAAGATATAGCTCAGTTGGTAAAGTGCTTGCCTTGCACTCACAAGACCATGGGTTGGATCCCCAGCACCACATACACAAAAAAAAGATCATCTGTTGAATTCTTAATGTATTTTCCCCTTTAGTTCTTTGGACATGTTCAAACCAGCTGTTTTAAAAGACTGTTAAATTCACCACCTGGGCCCACTGGAGTCCCTCCCCATGGATGGATATGAACCACACTTTTCTTGCAAATGGATCACACTTCTGTTTCTTTCTACATCTGATGATATTTTTTGTTAAAAACAAGCCAGTGTTGACAACATAGGAGAGTGACTCTGATACCCGTAATGTTCTAAGGATTGAATTTTCCTTCTAATTAGCAGTTAATTTGCTGAGAGTCAAACTACAGAGTCTTCTCTCTCCCGGGGTGGAGCAGTTCATCTTCTACTTGGTTCTTTTGACTACAATACTGCTTTTCAGTCTAGCCCTTTGGGGATCACTTCCATACCTATGTAGTTTAATGGTCAGGCAAAGAGTTGGACAAAATTTGTGGTCTAGTTTGGAGTTAACCCTCTCTGAGGTTCTCCTGCCTCTGGTATTTCCCCATGTATTTCCACTGGCTCTCTTAGCTTCAAGTTCTATCATCTGATACTTCGATCCAGTAAAATTTCAATTCTCTGCCACAACAGCTGTGCATAAGGTCACAGAAGGTGCTCGATCAAAACAGCCATCAAGCAGCGGTATACTCTGTAATTCCAGGAACTGGGGAGGCTGAGGCCAGAGGAGGATGGCAAGTTCAAGGCCAGACTGGACAATTTAGTGAGACCTTGTTTCAAACTGAAAAATAAAAAGGGCTGGGGCTGTAGCTCAGTGGTAGAGTGCCCTGGGTTCAATCCCTAGTACCCCCCCCCCAAACACACACACACATACACAAAAGCAAAGAGGAGGGAGGAGAAGGAGACAAACAGGTAGGGAGCAGACAAATCTCAGTGAGTGCACTGGTCTTTCAGACACAGGCCCCTCTCACATTTCTGCCCACTTGTTTTCTTTTTTCTTTTTCTGCCAGGCTCACAYTCAGGTCAGGCCTGTATACACATACTTTTGCAGTTAGCCAAAGATTTGAACAGATCTTATATTCCGACTTTGGATCTTACCTTTCTGCACTTCTAGAATTCCCTCCCCTTGCCAATCTGAACTCTATCTCTGCCACCTGGAGCAGGGAAGACTGCGTTTTCTGCCACAAGAGATCCAGGGACTGGGGAATGCCCTCAAGCAAAGACATCTTGCAAACACTGCCATTCTTAGTCATCGATGGCATGCTCTTTTAAGGGAACTCAAAATTCTGCTTTTTCACTTTTTATTGCCATCGAATAGTTTGTCTAGATTTTGTAACTGTATTGAATGGCAGGGAGGGTTCACCCAGCCAATTCATTCTGCCATTAACTGGAATCAGAAACCCTGTTATATATTTTTACACTCAATCTTAGCCACAAGTCTAAGAAGCAATGGATTATACATTTATATATTTTATTTATATATTTTAGATATCTTATATAAAACATAATACACTCAAACACACACAAACTAATATCTTTCKGAGCATACAGGGCAACCCACGTGTCCATTACCCTGATGGTGGTGATAGTTTCCTGAATACATACTACATATCCAAGCATCCAGACTGTAGGCTTTAAAAATGTGCAGTTATGGTATGTCAATTATATCTCAATAAAGCTGCAAAAAAGGAGGAAGCTAAAAATCCACCTGATTAAAACAGTTTCAGATTTAACATAAGTAGTTCTACTCCGCAAAACTAAGGGCTGATATTTTTAACTTAAGAAAGATGCATTAAAATGTAGAATAGGAATATGCAATCTCATTTGTACTCACAATCAGATTTCACAACCAAAACACATAAAATTTAGAATTATGCCAGATTTGGGAATAATACAGAAATTTAAGTCAGTTACTAATAATCATTATTTGGACTTAAATTTTTTATTGTCTTAGAAGCTTTGCAATTGAAATTGGAAGTCCAACACCAAATTATTACAGGAAGAGGCTTTGTCAACAGCTTCTGCTAGAATGTCAGCACCACAAAGGCAGGTACATTTTCTGTCTTACGACTGAGCACACAGATCCATGCTTGGCATACAGTAAAGACCCAAAACACATTTTTTAATTAGTAAATTAGAAAGGTAGAGCATTGTCGGGTGTGGTAGTTCACACCGTAATCCCAGCAACTTGGGAATCTGAGGCAGGAGGATCACAAATTTGAAACCAGCCTGGCAACTTAGCAAGACCCTGTCTCAAAATACAAAATAAAAGGGACTGGTGATGTGGATCAGTGGTAGAGCACCCCTGGGTTCAATCCCCAGTACCAAAAAATGAATAAATAAAAATAAAATAATAAAGAATATTACAAAATAACTTCAGAGAACCGAGAGTTCTCTGACAAGAGGTTTGAGGCAACAGAAATCAGTTTTGCCTGGAGTAGAAAAGGGCTAATAAGATTCTGCCAGGCAATTTGCTCCTGGGAAACTGATTCACAATCTTCTTTTTTTTTTTCTTTCCTTTTAATTTATCTTAAGGATACCATTTTTGACTTATCTAGTATTCAGAAAGAGAAAATTTTAGACTTAAACTATAGTTGAAAACTCTTAAAACTCCAGAAATCATTGTGCTTGGTTTATTTTCCAATTGTACAACACTGCCACATATCTATATGAACATCTATATAAAAAAATTGAAAAAAATCTATATATATTTAATTTTATATACACTGTTGAAAAATTAAAATCCAGGAAAAGTASTCAATTTAATCATCATATCTTTACAAATAAATTTGGACTTACGTAAGAGGGCAAGATAAAGCTGATTTGTATTCATCACTATTTAATTTCCTTGTTG